GGTGGGATTCCGACGGTTCGATGCGGCCCGATGTTTGCATGGCGTTGCTGTGCATTTTGGCGCGGCCCATTTGATTCGATTTCGACTCCTTGCCGATACGGCCCCGATCCGACTCACATCCCGTGTCGACCCGAATCCCCGATCGGAAATTTGTGGATTTGTTGCCCCTTTTCCATCCTTGCTTTTCTGCCCCCCCAAGGAGGACGACTACTTCGCCCGGTGCACTCACTTGGTGCGCCTGCGCCAGTGGAGGGCTCCGTGGCCTGGCGGGCCCCTGGGGAAAGCCCCCCAGGCCTGCTCCTCCTCCCCCCTCTTCTCCTCGCCCTGCCCTTCCTGGTCCATCCTCTCCCCCTCCTGATCCCCCCCTCTCGTCTTCACATTTACAAACTATGAATACTACTCTCCTCTCTCCCCTGGTGGCGTCCGGGGGAATGTCCGGCCCTCCTCCGCGTACGGAGTTGCGCTGGCCTCATTTCCGGGCGACCGTTTGTTCCGAATCGTGTTCCCACTGCAGCGTTGGCCTCATTTCCGCGCTTCGCCCGTTCCGAATCGTGCTCCCGCTGCAGCTTTGGCGTCATTATTTCCAGCGACATGCCACGGCATCGTTTTCGGTTCTTCCGAAAAGGCCCCACAGAGCTAGAAAATGGACCCCCGAATAAACCATCGTAAGTGATTATACATTCGGTGTCGATTCGTTGACTTTTGGGGCCGCAGAAGCCCCCCCCACTTTGGGGCGTCGCCACGCCATGCCATGTCAGGCTACGCGTCCTCATTTCCGCGCTTCCGCGCTGAGTTTTTTTGCTAAGCAACATGCTGCTCTCGCTGAAGCGCTGGCCTCATTTCGGGGCTACCGCTCCCTCCGAATCGTGCTCCCGCTGCAGCGCTGGCCTCATTTTCGCGCTTCGCTCGTTCCGAATCGTGCTCCCTCTGCAGCGTTGGCGTCATTATCTCCGGCGCCATGCCACGGCATGGTTTTCGGTCTTTCCAAATAGGCTTCAAAATCTAGAAAATGGACCCCCGAATAAACCATCGTAAGTGATTAAACATTCGGTGCCAATTCGTTGAGTTTGGGGGCCGCAGAAGCCCCCCCCACTTTGGGGCATCGCCACGCCATGCCATGTCAGGTTACGTCTTCATGTCCGCGCTTCCGCGCTGAGTTTTTTTTTCCACATGCTGTTCTCGCTGGAGCGCTGGCCTCAGTTTCGGGCTACCGCTCCCTCCGAATCGTGCTCCCGCTGCAGCGCTGGCCTCATTTCCGCGCTTCCGCTCGTTCCGAATCGTGCTCCCTCTGCAGCGTTGGCGTCAGTATTTCGAGTGCCATGCCACGGCATGGTTTTCGGTCTTTCCAAATAGGCTTCAAAATCTAGAAATTGCCCCCCGGCATAAACCAATTAAGTGATTATGCATTCGGTGTCGATTCGTTGATTTCTTGGGCCGCAGAAGCCCCACCTTGGGGCGTCGCCACGCCATGCTATGTCATGCTACGCGTTGTTCATCGGTTCTATGCTATGCCATGCATTGCTATGCCATTCTGCGACATCCGATTGTGAGAATGGAAAGGATATCTACGCCATGGTATGGGATGGGAGGGAGAGGTAGGACGTCAGATATGACGCGAGCGCACCTAGCTTGTTCCCCCCCCCCTCTCACCATCGCCCTCCCTCCCCGTGCTCCTCCCCGCCCTCCCTCTTGTTCCCCTCCTTCTCCCCGTCCTCCCTCCCTCCTCCTGCTGCTCCTCCCTCTCCCCCTCCTCCTCCTCGTCCTCCTCCTGCTCCTCCTCCTCCTCCTACTCCTCTTTCTCCTCCTTTTCATCCTCATCCTCGTCCTTTTCGCACTCCTCCCCCCCTCCTCCTCCTCCGCCTCCTCCTCCTCCTCCTCCTTCTCCTCCTCCTCGCTTCATGCGCCATCTCAGCTCAAGCATTACATGGGCGGGCCGGCTTTTGTGCCTGCGCGTCGGCATGTGAGGCACCCCGAGCCCCGCTCCTCTTAGGATTTGTTCGCTCGGCCGACTAAAGCGAGAACTCATACCATAAATGTGTAGTCATTCTCAATCACGACGCCACCTCTAACAGCGAGGCTGTGGAGTCGGTGCGGCAGCTGCCATCGGTGCGGATAGAACGACATCTTGCTCAAGGCCGAAGGATTTTTGATGCTGCGGCATCAAAGACAATGTACTCCAGCCCAAGAGGTCCGAGTCCAGGAAGAGGCGCGTCTCCTTCTCGGACCATTTGGATGGACCGTTGGCGGTTGCCGGCAGCAAGAACACACGGTCCCCAGGTTGAGCCCCCAGGTCCAAAGTGGACACCGTCGTCGACCACGTGGTGGAGGCCATGAGGCAGACGGGGGGCGAGGAGCTGAAACGATTCTCCAGGCCGCGCTGGGAAGATCTCCGAGGCCACGCAGCAGGTGCCCAAACCCACGGCGGCGGCGGCGCTGTCCAAGGCCCGCGCTGCGTGGTGGGACGCCAACTGCAAGCACAGCCAGTAGATTAGCAAAGCACGACGGTTACGAACTGCGCTTTCAGTCGCTGAAGGCAAGGAGGCTCAGGACGCACTGGCTCTGGCGCCAACAGAGATTGCACGCAAGGGGGCTGTCGAGTTATTCGCACGCGCTGAAGGAGTAGGGGTGTTTTCGGGCGAGGCGTCGACCAGTGCAAGCCCGATTGGGAGTACTGCGAGATGCGCCGGGGCGACAGGCCCTTCGCGGACGTGGGGAACTTAGATTGCGGGGGGGCCAGGAAGCAGCAGCGCTAGGCCATCCATGACCAACTGCATCTACTGCGCACGGCGTTTGCGACAAAGTCTCCAGAGGCGCAGAAGTGGTTGACCATGGCGGCGCAGGTGCGCAGCGAGGTCTACAAGCGAATGGCCCCGACGAAGAGGCGCACCGACCAGGGCCACTCGATGCCAGCGGCCGAGGAGGATCAGCGGTGAAGCCCCCGGCGAGGCCATGGCAGCCACCAGCGGATGCGAGGGTCTTCAGGGCGCCCAGGCTTGGGCGCAGGTGGTCATGCTGCCCGCGGTCAAGTGCAAGTCAACTAAGGGGGCGGCAGCTGCAGCCTTTGCCGGCGCCAAGAGCGCAGGCTCCGCTAGCGCTTGGAGGCCAGCGCCTGGCCGCGGGGCAGACGCGCGCGGATCTCGCGGCCAGGCGCCAGTTTTGCGCAATGGAGAGCAGCGGCGCGATGATCCAGGCATTTGCCGCGGTTTCAGTTTCTTCTTCAACGTCGCGACCCCGGGGCGGAGGGGCCAGGCCTGGGCGCGCTTCGCGCGGCAGTGCTGCGCGCGCGCCCGCGACGAGTGCGTCGAGGCCCATCTTCCAGAGTCGCAGTTGCGCAGGCGCGACGCGCGCGCCCATTGCCGAGAGCGCCGCGCGAGGGCTGGCCAGCGCAAGCCACCGGTCAGAATTGATCGGCAGGCGAGGGCGGGGAGATCGATCATCTTCATTGACGGGCACCTGCAAGCATCCTCGCTTGCTGAGCTGAAGCTCGAGCCAGCGCATGTCGGGCGCAAGGGTCGGCATCTCTCGATGGGTTCGTTGCCTCGGCTGCCCATGGCGAGGCCCTCCCCCGCGTTCGCCTTGCTCCGCGGGCGCGCCTCCGTCGGCGCAGCGGACCGCGACTGCGCGCAGTTCCATCGCTGGGGGGGCGTGCTCTGCGAGCGCCGCGGCCCGTCGCGGGAGGTCGGGGCGCGCCCCCGCGCACTCTCGACAGGGGCTTCTCGAGCGCGTCCACGGTCGGGCGCTGGCGTCGCCAGTGGGGCGCGCGCGCGACGGTGGGGGGGGCAGGGCAGCCTCGTCGACTGCGTCGTCGCGGGCAAGTCTGCGGCGCCATTCATCGCGGGGCGCCAGGCTGCGTTCGGAGCACTTTGGCGGCCGCGCGTCGCTTCGCGGCCGCCGTCGGCTCGAGGCCCCCGCTCAACTTCCAAGGTAAACGGGGCCCCGCGCGCGGCCGGGCCCCGAGCCATGGGTGGCGAGATTCGCAGGGGGCAGCGGCGGCCCCGCGCAGGCCGCGCCCCTCCCGCGAGCTGGTCGCATATTGTCTAACCCCCCTGCGTCTGCAGGCCCCCCCCCCGCAAACCAGTTGGACGCCGCGTATTCTGTCGGCGACAGTAAAGACGGACTGGCGGCCCACCAACGTCGGGGCGCAATGGCCCATCCCCCTGCGGCGCCCGCCGCGCCGCGACGACGACGGCGACTGCGATGGCGATTTCGGTTGCGATTGATATTGCGACTGCAACCGCCAGCACTTGCACGACCACGAGCGCGACCGACATCGCGACGGCGATCAGGGTTACAGGCGCGACTGCCATCGCGATTGCATTGCAACCAATGCCACCGGTGCAAATCCACGCGAGGAGATGCCCGCAAACCCAATCGCACGCCGGGCTGCCCAGAATGGGACATCCCTGCGAGGAAGAACCCCAACATTTTCCAGCCCGCCCAGCAATAGAGGGGCGATGTAATCCCCGCCGCGGCGGCGACAACGACCGCGATTGCGACTGCGACTGCAACCGCGATTGCGATTTCGAGTATAAGCGCGACCTGGAATCGCGATCGCAGTCGAGATCGCAGGCGCGACTACAATCGCGACTGCAGCCGCAACCGCAAGTCTCATTGCAGCGCTCGCGAGAAGCTCCTCGCGCATCCCCCCGCGCGCAGGGCGGCCAACCGCCGGTCATTCCCCGGGGGGGCGCGCCCCCAACATCACCCGGTCTGTCCGGCGATCGAGGGGCAATGGCCCCCCCCCCCGCGGCGACGACGACGACGGCCGCGCTGCGACGGCGGCCGCGAGGAGGGGCCAGAGCAGGACGGGGAGCAGGCGCCGATGGGGGGTGGAGGAGGAGGAGGGGCTGGGGGGGGGGGGGGGCGCGGAGGAGGAGCGAGGAGGATGAGGAGGGAGGAGGAGGGGGAGGAGGAGGAGGAGGAGGAGGGGGGGAGGCGGAGGGGAGAGGAGGAGGAGGAGGAGGTGGAGGAGGAGGAGAGGAGGAGGAGGAGGAGGATGGGGGGCAATGGAGCGCGGCGGGGGGGGCGGGGGGGCGGGGGGGCGAGTTTATTCTTCGCCGGGGGCAGGGGGGGCGACCTCCCGCGACCCCAGTTGGTCTTGAGACCCCCCCCCCCACTAGTGGAACGATGATTTCGCGTCGGCGCACTTGTTGACCGACTGGGGCCAAACCAGCAACGGGCAATAATTATCCATCCGCGGCGCCCACCGCGCCGCTGCGACGACGGCCGCGGCCGCGACGTTGACTGCGACTGCGTGGGCGCGACTGGGATCGCGATTGCAGTCGCGATCGCAGGCGGGACTAGCGCGACCACTACCACAACCGCTATGTCTCATTGAAGCGCTCGCGAGAGTCTGCTCGCGCATCCCCCCGCGCGCAGGGCAGCCAACAATGGGTCGGTCCCCGGGGGGGGCGCGCCCCTGACGTCGTCCGGACTATCCGGCGATCGAGGGGCAATGGCCCCCCCCGCGGCGACGACGACGACGGTCGCGACTGCGACGGCGGCCGCGGGGAGGGAGGACGGGAAGCAGGAGCAGGGCGAGGAGGAGGGGGAGTTGGCAGGGTGGCGGGGGCGGGCGGGGACGCGGACAAGGAGAAAGGGGAGCAGTGGAGCAGGGCGGGGGGGGGGCTCGTTTTCTGGAGAGCAGCGGGGGGGGGCGACCTCGTGCGACCCCCATTGGTCTTCAGACTCCCCCGCAAGTGGAATGTCGATTTCCTCGTCGGCACCATTATTGGCCGATTGCGGAGACCACGCAGCAATGGGCGCGCGTTATTTCTCCGCGGCGCCCGCCGCGCAACTGCGACGACGGCTGCGGCTGCGACGTTGACTGCGACCGCGATGCGACGACGATTGAGATTGTGATTGCGATTGCTCATTGCTAATGCCATTTACTAGTGCGACTACGACCACGATGACAGCGGCGGTTGCAATCGCGATTGCACCCGCGACCTCGCAGAAACGGCCGCAAGCGTGACCTTTGATGCGCGCGGCAATCTCCGGCGCACTCCCCCGCGCGCTGGGCCGACCGCGGCAGGTTATTCACCCGGGGGGGGGGGGGGGGGGGCAAAACATCGCGGCCCGCCCAGCGACGTGGGGGGGTCACGTCCTCCGCGTCGACGACGACTGCGATTGCGACTGCGATTGCGATTGCAACCGCGAGTGCGAGCGCAGCTACAATAACGATTACAATCGCGCGCGCAAGCGCGACCACCACCGCGACTGCAATCACAACGGCAACCGCAGCCGCTGATTCCTATCGCATTACGCATGGGAAGATGCTCGCGAAACTCCACGCGCGCAGAGCAGCCACCAAAAAAGCACCCCCATGGAAACAGAAGCCCCAACATCATTCCGCCCTCTCAACAACAAATGACAAATCATTTCCGCCGCGGCGGCGGCGACGACGACGACGACGGCAGCGACTGCGACCGCGAGGGGGGGCAGGGGGGGCGACCAAGAGGAGAGGGCGGAGGAGGGGGGGGGGGGGCGGAGGAGAGGCTTGGGAGGAGTGAGAGGAGCAGGAGGAGGAGGGGCGAGTTGGTCCCCGCCAGGGGGGGGCGCTTCAAAGGTGACGACTTCCTGAGGTTTAGAATGGGAGGGCGGGGGCGGGCGCAGCGAGTTATAATGGCGTCGGAGTCGTGGTGGGGGGGGTTCCCATTCGGTCGCGCGAGGTTGCAGGCGCGCCCCCGCCCCCCCCCCCCCCCCTCGCCTCCGCAGCGTTTTGGCTCAATCCCGAGCGGCCGTGTTCCTCGAGTTCATGGCGCTCTCGCGTCGGCGCGAGGCGCCGCGGGGGCCGCCCGCCCTCGCCGCGGCTCGCCAGCGCAAGCTGCGCGCCGCGCCCAGTCGCGGCAGCGGCTGCAAGTTCGCGATCGAGGGGGCGCAGACATGTAGCAATCCCGGCAGAGGCATTGGAGATCATAAGGGGCGCGTCGGCGGGGGCGGCGAAGCATCGGCGGGGGCGGAACGGGGCGCAGAAGATCGGCCGCGTTCAGCGCTCGCGTCGGCAGCAGGCGCGCGCCGGGCCTCTCGGAGCGCGCGGGCTTCTGCGCCCAGGGCGAGGCGCTGGCGATCGCGCGCGGGCCGAGGCCCTGCTCGCTTTTCAAATTATTTGTTACCTTTGGGGCCGCGCCGATAAATTTACCTGGCGTCCGAGTCCTTTTTTGCGCAGGGGCCCTTTGGGGGTCGCGCCGATAAATTGACCGGGCGCGGGCGGCGTCGCGAGTCCGTCGCATGGATCCAGAGCTGGGTCGCGCGGCGGGCTGCCGTCGGAGCTCTCCGCGAGCATTGGGAAGGAGGGCCCGAATCCCCCTCTGGAGATCTCCCTGGGCGCCGCGGCAGCGGCGGCGCGCCCCGAGGTCGCTGGCGCCGAGGGGCGTTGGCGCCGAGGGCCGGCAGCGGCGGCGCTGGGGGGGGCCCGGATGGCCGAGGCGCTAGCGGCGGCGCGCGAGGCAGCAGAGACGGGGCCCCTCGACCCTGCAACCGCGGACGAGGCGCGATCGGATGCCCGTCGAACGAAGGCCAGTACGGACGCCGATCGACGTCGCTGCTGGAGGAGCTCGGCCTCGTCGGAGGGCGAGCGGCGCCCGCCAGCAGAGCGAGGGTGCATCGAGAAGCCTTTTCATCGCGATTGTTCCGCTCGGCGCGTGGAAGGAGCCGTCGGCGTCGTCGTCGTCGCGGGGCGCGGCGCGGGCGACGCCGCGTTCATGCCTGGGCGCTCGTTCATCGCGGATGTGGGCGCAATGCGAACGCCAACGCGGTCGCGCGTGAGAAGTCGGCAGACTTGCTACCCGGGGCGACGGCGCAGCGCGAGGCAGACGAGGCGTTCTGGCCGCGCGGCACGACCCCGCGATCTTGGACGTCGGTGGCCCCGCCAGCGCACGTGGAGCAATGGGCGCGCGCTGGCAGGCTGGAGAACGGCGAAGCAGACGGAAAATCGGAAGCAGCAGGCAACCAGCAGCCCATCGCGATATTCTGAAACGTTAGCGGATGCGCTGATTCCACATACCCTCGCTTCAGATAGGGTCGGATGCGGGCTCATGCAAGTCCCGTCCGTTGACAAATGAGATGGCGCACGACGGACGGCAGAACAGAATGCATCAACGACCAGAAGGAGAGTTTGCAGAGTTGTGGGCCACGTCCGGCGAGGTATTCCAACATCGGCGTGCTGGCCGCCCTGTCGTCTCGTTTGTCAACCCATCGCAGGGCTATGGAGTAAGCGCGCGCAGCTGGCACGCCGGGGTGGCCAGTGCAGGGGCACTGCCATGGTTGGCGAGGTAGTTGGCGCACCGGCTGGCCACGCATGGTTGCGGCAGCATGAGGGGGCCCGCGTGGGCCAAGTTGAGAGTGGAGCTTGTTTGGTCATGGTGAGGCTCCTCAGCGCCGCCGTGGACGCACGGGGTTTCGTGGCCGAGACCGCGGAGCAGGAGCGCGCGCGCGACGGCCAGGGAGGAGGGGGCGGTGAGTGGAGTAGGCCCTGCCTCTCGTCCTCCTCGCCCCCCCTCCTGCGTTGATTCCAGCCTCGCCCCCTCCGCTGTACCCCAAGGCTGACGCTGTGATTGACGGCGCTCATGCGTCGGGCGACTCGGGGTGCAGATGTCGCAGGTGCACGGGATCACCCTCCGTAGTTGAGCTCAGGAAGTGGAAGGTGCCCTTGTGCTCTGAGCGCATAGCATTAGATGGTTCCTTGCGGGTTCTCCCACCATGGAGGGAACTGCGCATCGCTTTGGGGTCGGCCCTGCACGGGCGCAGTCACGCCCACTCGCGCTTGATGTTTTGCGAGGGTTCAGAGAGCTTGTGGCCCAAAATTCACAGTCAACCCGGGCTGGCCATAAGAGCCTTCGGAGGGCTCCAGTGTGGAGGTACGTTTTGGCATCGGCAAGGGGCTCTCACTCGTATTACTACGCCTCTCCTCCATTTCCGTCTCACGGTCTTCTCCGTCCTCCGCGCCCGCCCTCCCGCCCTCCGCGCCCGCCCTCCCGCCCTCACCTGTTCTCCCTGCTTTTCCTCGCCTGATTTGGTTGTCATCTCCCTCCTTTCCTCCTGCTCCTCCCCGTCGCTCTCGACTTCGTACTCCCCATTGCCTCCCTCGCACCCATTCCCACCCATTCCTTCCTCATTCACCTCCTTCGCTTTCTCCACCCGTCCAGGAAGATTGTGGGAGGAACAAGGAGGAGGAGTAACAGGAGGAGAAAAGGGAGGAGTACGAAGAGCCGGGGATCCCGAAACCACCAGCGACAGAGCGACAGGAACAAAAATGAGGAGGAGGACCAATGAAAACCGAAGATCCATCCACAATATTGCAAGGAACACTCCCTCCGAGTTCCCCCGTCAAAGACCCCTACAAGGATTCACTGTTACAGAGAAGTGCCCCATTGGAAGACAACCGCTGAAAATCAAGAATTGTGCCAGAACGCCACTTCTGGGACTTCAGCGCCGAATCATTGTTATTGTTGCGTCTTGACGATCTGGGATCGCCTCCAGAGCTCCAGTCCTGGGATTTCAACCCCGCGAATCAGCGTGGCTGTTGCGCCCTGACGTTCCGGCACCGTGCCAAACACCATTTGTGGGATGTTCATTTTGAGAGGTTTGTAACGGCTGCAACCTCTGAAAGACGAATGTGCGCGGCTTGATAATAAAAAAAACGCGTTCCACCCGTGAAGCTTCTGTAACATCTTAAGACATATGTGCGCGGCGCTGAGGCGAGAACCACATGTTGAAAAAGGAACCGCCCACCGTCTGCGAAACTCTTGCAAGCTTTGAAGACTGATGTGCGCGGCCTTTCAGGCCAAAGGCACATGTTGAAAATCGCCCGCCCTCCATCCGTAGAGCTCTTGAAAACGTTTGAGACGAATGCGCGCGGCGCTAAGGCGAGATCCACATTTTGGAAACGACCCGCCTTCCATTCGTGAAGCTCTTGTAAAGTTTGATGCGAGTGTGCGCCGCGCGAATGCGAGAACCACATTTAGAATGAGGCTGGCCTTCCATCCGTGAAACTGTTGCAAACGTTTCAAGGTTCAGGATCATAAATTATTTGGAAGTCGCAAGCAACATGCCTGGCCCGCCCTTTCGAAAGGTCTCGGGGTGCGACAGGGATGCGGTACTTATAAGGAAGAAGGATGGACGAGGAAGAGGAGGGGGAGGAGGAGCAGGAGGAGGAAGAGGAGGAGGAGGGAGACGAGGAGGAGGAGGAGGAGGAGTGAGATCCTGGTGCCGACTGGTAGGTTGCAGTCCGCGCTGGTGCTTCCCCCACCCCGTCTTCACCTCGCGCTCATCTTCTCCCGAATGCGCCCCTCCAGCCCACCGGGTTAAGCCGTGGGACGGGGCAGGGAAGGTGGCTGCAAGGATAACCTACCGTCCGCCACGAGTCAGTCAGGAGGAGTGAGGTAATGAGCAGGGGTGGAGGAGGATCGAGGATCTGCACCTCCCCCCCCCTCTCCTCGTCCCTCAGGTGGATGCCTCGTGCGCGCGCCCGGCGGAGACCACACCGCGGGCCGTTGCAGGGAGGTGCGCGATGGAGAACGCGTAGTGCTGTTTGCTCCTCGTGTGCTTACTCCATTCCGGAGGATGAGGAGGGATAGTGGTGGATGATGATGTTGATGCTGCTGATGATGATGATGCTGATGCTGGTGCTGATGATGAGTATGTTGATTCTGACGATGAAGATGACGACGGCCATGGTGATGTTGATGTTGATGATGCTGCGTCTGAAGCTGATGATGGTGATGCTGATGATGATGGTGTTAATGATTACGACGAAAGTGGTGATGATGATGATGATGATGATGATGATGATGATGATGATGATGATAATGATGATGATGATGATGATGGTGCTGATGACGCTGATGATGCTGTTGCTGCTGCTGGTGATGATGACGATGACGATGATGATCTTGATTGGGGAGGACGATTCGGGTATGGATGCCGATGACGATGAGGGGGAGGGTGGGTTTAGCATCCAGCACACAGGTAATCACCGTAAGTAAGGAGGACGAACAGGAGTGGGAGGAGCAGCAGGAGTATGCGTTGGAGGCGGGGCAGGGGGCGCAGGACAAGAGTGAACCAAAGATGCAGAATGGATGCTGCAATACACCTTCCCGTCCCAAGTCCCCTCAAATGCCCCTACAAGTACTTTCCACTCCAAGAAGCGCTCCCCGTGAATCAGCATCACAGTGGGGCCTGCCATTTTGGCAAGAGCCCCTTTTTGAAAAGGAGCTTCCTCGCATAGTTCTGGCGCGTGGTGAGGCATGCCAAACAATGATCATACAGCTCAGCATGTGTCAACTGAGATCCCCCTTCTGAAGACGAGCCGCCCCCCCCCCCCATCCGTGCAAATGTTGCACAAGCTTACCCTTGTGGTCATGAACTTGGAGGAAGTATCAGGCGACAGCTCCAAATGAAAAGGAGCCGCTATGGAACTGTGCAGCGCTACGTACGTTGAGATGTCGGGTCCTTGAACTTGAGAAAATATGAAGCACCCCGCAGTTGTGGATAAGAGTAAGGGGGCGGGCGAGGGTTGGGTAGCGGTTGGGTCGCGGGCGAGTCGCGGGTGGGTCGCGGGTTGGGTCGCGGGTGGGTCGCGGGTTGGGTCGCGGGTGGGTCGCGGGTGGGTTGCGGGTAATTAGGTCGCGCGTTTCGCAGGTGGGTCGCGGGTGGTGTCGCGGGTGGGTCACGAGTGGGTCGCGGGTAGGTCGTTGGTTGGGTCGCGGGTGGAATGACGACAACAAACAGCAAGCAACAAGCAACAAGCAACACACACCAGACAACAATCAATAACCAGCACGCAACAAACAACAAACACCCAAAAACACATCAAACAGCAACAACAACACCACCACCAATATCAACAACCACAACACCAACAACACCAACAATAACAACACATTCAACACTAACAGCAGCAACTATAACTGTAACGACAAGCACAACCACAAGTTCAACTACAACTGCAACAGCAGCAACAACAATCATTATAACACCGTATGCTATTACCTGCTCGTTTGCCATTCAACACGTGTATCCCAAACCCTCTGTAACCGCTCTCTTCGTCTTCGATCGTTCTCCCTTATGGGTATATCTTCCCTACCTGCCGCGTGTAGTTGGTGCAGCCTTTGAAACATGGGAAGCGAGGACGGATGGAAAGGGGGAGGAAGAAGGATGGAGCACGGGATGCGCAGGAGGGGGGCTAGGAGCAGAAAGCACGTGGCAAAACCAGACGGGCCCATCGGGCGGGTAGACCTTGGGGGCGGGTCGGGGAGGCGGGCCCAAGCGGCCAGGTCGAGAAGGCGTGTTGCTGAAGCGTGAGTACTGCATGGATCGCCAGGAGAGTTCGAGCGACAGCGCGATTCCCAGGTGAGTCGCGAGAAAGGCCAAAACGAGAGCGTGAATCTTGCGTGTCGAGGGCACGGCGTCTGAATAAGTTGCGAGGAAGTCCCACGCAAGAGAGCGATTCCTGCATAACTTGTGAGAACTTCCCGCGCGAGAGCGCGATTTCGGGATACATTGTGAGGCGGTATCAGGCGGGAGCCGTTGTTGTGGTCGTTCGGGGCCCAACGGCGCAGTTTGACGACGCCAGGTTTCCTGGATAAAAAGAAACTGGGTGCGAGCCCCGAGGGGGTGGGGGGGGCATGTCAATTGAAATTTCAATGGTGACCGGAGGGGGGGACCAAGACAATTTTTACGCATGGGAATTCATCCGCAACAACAGCAATCATTAATCTGATGCTCGCTCTTACTTGCTCGCATGCCACTCAACACGTATATCCCAAACCCTCGGTACCCGTCCCATTCGTCTTCGATCGTACCCCCTCTTTGGGGTATATCTTCTCTACCTGCCGCGTGTAGTTGGTGCAGCCTTTGAAACAGGGGAAGAGAGGACGGATGGAAGGGGGAGGGTGGAGGATGGAACACGAGAGCGAGTAGCAGGAGGCGGGCCACGGGCAGATCGGGCGGGTAGACCCTAACGGGCGGGTCGGGAAGGCGGGCCCAGGCGATCAGGTCGAGCAGGCGGGTTGCCGAAACGTGAGCATGAACCGCGAGGAAATCTCGAGCGATAACGCGATTCCCAAGTGAATCAGAAAGGCCCGAGCTACAGCGTGACTCCTACGGGTTGGAGGCGCGACGCTTGAATCAATTGTGAGGAAGTCCCGCGCGAGAGCGCGATGTCTGCATACATTGTGAGGACGTCCCGCGCGAGATCGCGATTAGGGATTATTTTGTCAGGACGTATCGGCCGGAGCCGTTGGTAACTCGGGGGCCCGCCACCCAGTTTGAGGCTCAAGACTCTCCCTGATAAGAAACATGTCAAGTACAATTGTTACCGTAGGGGGATCAACAATAATTATTAATCCGGAGTGAAAGCTCAACAGCCCAACAACAACACCAGCAACAGCAGCAGTAACAACAACAGCAGCAATAGCAGCAGCAGCAGCAACAGCCACAACAACAACAGCAACCATTCTAAGACTGTTCGCTCCGATCTGTTCGCGTGCCACTCGACACATCTATCCCAAGCCCTCGGTGCCCGCCCTCTTCGTCCTCGACCGTACCTCCTTAGGGTCACATTTGCCTGCAATGTGTATTTCGTGCAGCCCTTAAGGCAGGGGAATTGAGGGCAGATTGAGGGAAGGGAGACGGGGCAGGCGGGCTGCTGAAACGTAGCGTGCGTCCTGCATGGATCGCGAGGAGAGCTCGAGCGACAGTGCGATTCCCAAATAAATCGTGATGAAATGCGCAGCGAAAGCATGATTCCTGATTGTCGAGGGCGTGGCGTCTGAATAAATGGCGGGTCCCACGCGAGAGCGTGATTCTTGTGTAACTTGTGAAGACGTCCCGCGCAAGAGCGCGATTTGGGAATACACTTCTGGGGAGTATTCGGCGGGAGCCATTGTTATTGCAACCCTTGGGCCAGGGGCACAGTTTAGTGACACCTCCCTTTCACTTGTAAAAACAGGGTGCGAGCCTTAGGAGAGCCAGTTTATTTGAAAAGCAGAATGGTTACCTGAGGGGGGGATCAACAATGTTCCAGGCAGTTTCGCCCGAGTTATCCTCACAACTCTGGGTTCGGAGATGCCGCGAGAGAGCTGGTTTTGCCAGTCCCGCCTGAGACATCCTCGCAACACTCACTGCGCGCTGGCCACGTCCCTGATTAGGAACTGCACTCTCGCGTCAACGCCGGCCACATCCTTCATTGGGTACGTATGGTGTTGGCGCTCGAGTGCCAGCCACACCCATGAATGGGAATGGTGTTTTCGCCCGAGTTCTGGCTACATCCCTGAATGGGATGGATGATGTGCCTGCGCGCTGGCCACACACCTAATCATTAGGCGTGGTGCTCTCGCCTCAGCGCCGGCCACACCCCCAAGTGGGTATTGGTATTGTGCTGCCGCTCGAGCGTCAGCCACAAGCACATGCTGGCACGCTTATGGAGTGCATCTTAGAGGGGTTGTCCGGGTTGTCAGGGTGTGTGTGTGTGTGGAGATTTGTTTGATCCGTTTTTCATTGAACACAATATTATTGGGAATGAGAATTCAGCAACGGCACAACAATCATTTTCAGATTGTTCGTCCTTTTTTGATCGCGTGCCACTCAACAACTATATCGCAAACCCTCGATACCCGCCCTCTCCGTCTCCGTCCATACCTTACCTGCCACGCACATTTAGCACAGCCCCTAAAACAGGGGAAGAAAGGACGGATGGGGGAGGGAGAAGGATGGAGCACGAGAGAGGGCCTCTCGGAGTAAATCGCGAGGAAGTATCGAGCGGGCCCTTGTCATTGCGACTGCGCCTGCACCAACTTGATGGAATTACGAGGAAGTTTCTAGCGAGAGCGCTGTTCCTGAGTTCGGGAACCTCTTTGGCCAGAGCTTATTGAAGTAAATCGCGAGGAAGTATCGAGCGGGAGCCGTTGTCGTCGTAGTTGGGCCTCCACCAGCTTGACTAGATTACGAGAACGTTTAGAGCGAGAGCGCCGTTCCTGAGTTCGGGGGCCTTCCTGGTCAGGGGCTCTCGGAGTAAATCGTGAGGAAGTATCGAGCAGGAGCCCTTGTCGTCGTGGCTGGGCCTCCGCCAGCTTGGTTGAATTGCGAGGAATTCTCGAGCGAGAGCGCCGTTCCTGAGTTCGGGGGCCTCTCTGGCCAGGGTGTCCCGGGGTAAATTGTGAGGAAGTATCGAGCGGGAGCCGTTGTCGTTGTAGCTGAGCCTCCAAGGGCTCACATTTACATTATGCTCTAGAAATGAGTAGTCAACAACAACCTCAATGATTGTAAGACTGTTCGCTGCTATCTGCTCACGTGCTAATCAATACGTATACCCCAAACCCTCGGTACCCGCCCTCGTCGTCTTCGATCGTACCGCCTGGGGGTTACCTGCTACGAGCATCTAGTGCAGCCCCTAATACAAGGGAAGAGAAGACGGGTGGAAGAGGGAGGGAGAATAATGGAGCACGAGAGAAATTAGCAGGAGGGGGGCAAGGAGCAGGAAACCAGTGGTAGAACCAGACGGGCAGATCGGGTGGGCAGATCCATAGTGGGCAGGTCGGGAAGGCGGGCCCAGGCGACCAGGTCGAGCAAGTGGGTTGCTGAAGCGTGGGTCCTGCATGAATCGCGAGGAAGTCTCGAGCGATAGCGCGATGCCCACGTAAATCGTGAGAAAAGACAAAGCGAGAGCGTGGTTCCTGAGCGCCGAGGGATCATCGTTTTAATTAACTGCGAGGAAGTCCCGCGCGAGAGCGCGATTCCTATACAATGCATGAGAAAGTCCAGCGCGAGAGCGCGATTTGGGAATCACTTGTGAGGAAGTATCAGGCGAGATCCGCTATTGTTATAAACCGGGGGCCAAGAACACAGTTTGAGCCCCGTGGCTTCCTTTGATTTAAAAACAGGGTGCGAGCCCCGGGGGAATCACTTCAATTGAAAAATACGACGGTCACCAGAAGGGTGGGGATCAACAGTAATCACTCATCAGTACTGAGAGCTCAAACACAGCAGCAACAGCAACAACAGCAACAACCATGTTAAGACTGTTCGCTTCTATCTGCTCGCGTGCCAGCCAACACGTATCTCCCAAACCCTTGGTATCCTCCCTCTTCATCTTCGATCGTACCCCCTTGGGGGTATATCTTCCTCACCTGTCACGTGAATTTTCCGCAGCCCTTAGAACAACGTGGCAGAACCAGACGGGCCCGTCGAGCGGGTAGACCTTCGCGGGCGGGCCGCGAAGACGGGTCCAGGCGGCCAGGTCGAGCAGGCGGGTTGTTGAAGCGTGAGTATTGCATGAATCGCGATGAAGTCTCGTGAGATTGCCCTCGTTGGTTTCACCCTGGACGCGATTGTTGCAGTCCTTGCTGTGGCCGTCGACGGACTTGCAGGCAGTGCTCCTTCCCTGGTGCCACTCCATGCCCAGTCTCCGCTGCTCCCCGCCCTTGGGAACACGGGCAGCGGCCTGTAGACAACACTGGCTCGTGAACTACCGCTGGGGCCGTGGTCCACTTGTCCCCCATCGGCCTTCGACCTGCTGTAGTTGTTTTCACTCTTGGCGCGTCCCTCCCCCGCGCCCCCGGGCGCCCTGCCGTGTCGGGGTGTCCCCCCCCTTCGGCTGGGCTCCCAGTCTCCCAGCCAGTTCGGTGGTGTCGTCCCCCACCGGCCCTGGCTTTCTCGCTTTTCCGCCCTCGTCGCGGTTTTCCTCCCCCCCTTGGTGGGGCCTATGGACATTGGTGGTCCAGCCCAGACGTTCCGTGTTCTCGCCGCGCCGCGGTTGCAACTCTGGTTTCAGTTACTGGAGTTCTACCCGCGGTGTCCGTGTACGTCTGTCGCCACCAGCGGTGTGCTGACTGCGGGCACGCGCTCCCTATTCAGGGTTTCTGGTGCGCGATTTCGCTGGCGCCGCCTCTTGCACCCGTCTGGCCCTGGGTCACGACTTGGTTTCCCGAGCTTCCCACGGTCGCTCTCGTGGCGCCCCCGCGCCATTTTGGCCGCGCTGCAGCTTGACAGCTCTTCGCACTTGTGCGTGTTGCTGCTGTTGGACCTCCTGGCCGCGGCCACCCTGGTCCCTCGCAGCTTGCCGATGCTCACGCCCAATCTGGGCACCCAATTCGTCCTCCGACTGTCGGTTCACCTGGCTGCGGCCACCCTGGTACCTTCGCAGTAGTCCGGGGGCCTGCGCCCTTGCAACTAATTCTCGTCTGCCGCTTTCCCTGGTCGTTCGCTGGTTACCCTGGCCGCCTGCTGCTTCCGACGCGTTGCATGCTTGCACCCTGGCAGTACTGGTATCCAGCCTACCGCCAGCCTTTTCCACTCGCCGGCCCGCCGCCGAGGTGCTGCGTGAGGCTCCGGCCCATCGCTTTAGGTTAATTCGTCTTCGCGAGCCCCGCTCTGACTGGACTCGCCGCTGGCGCGCTCGCCTGCGGCCGCTGATTAAAAAAATATCCCCACCAGCTCTGTCCGCTCGTTTCCTCCCCTCCTCCCTCCTGTTGCGCAATTCGTGCGTAGTCCGCTCGCTACGACTCTTGGACGGCGTCAGGCGTCCCCCGGTGCGCTCGCGATCAAGAAATCCCCATCAGACCATCCAGAAACGATGCCCATGAGAATTGAAGGGAGGAGGGAGGAAGAGACACGCATAGTCAAACAGCGAAAGGGGCTTGAGAGGCTCCGTGGCCATTTCGAGCCGTCTTGGAGCGGTTTTGGGGCCGCTTGGAGCATTCTGGGAGTCATCTGGAGCCAGTTTGAGCTATGTGAGCCATCTTGGAGGTCATCTAGGGCTCTTTGCGGCCGCTCGGGGGCCTATTAGGGGGCCTTTTTTTCGGGTGCCTCTTGGATGCCTCTTGGGGTTTCTTGGGGCGTTCTTTGGGCTACTTGGGCCATCATGGGGCCCTCTTGGGGGCCTCTTGGGCGATCTTGGGGGCCTCTTGGGCCGTCTTGAGCCGTCGGAATGCCGAGAAGAAGCAAATTCCAAAATCCTTCAGAAACCTTAGGGGAAATCAATGATTTTGGCCTTTTCAGGCCCTCCTGGAGGACCTCTTGGAGGCCTCTTGGGCCGTCTGGGAGGCCTCTGGGGGGCCTCTTGGGCCGTTTTGGGCCGTCTTGGACTCTTGGGCCGTCATGGAGGCCGTCTTGGACCATCTTGGGCGGACTTGGGGGCCATCTTGGGCCATCTTCGCGATTTTGTGAGGATGTCCCGAGCGAGACGGCCGTTTCAGGGAGGATTGTTCGTGGAGTTTGCGGTCCTGGAAGAGCCTCCCGGTACCCCGGCGGGACGGGCCGACGCGCCAGGGGGAGTTCTTGGGGAAAAAGAACCAAAACCAAAACCGAAAGGATCAAGCACGCCAGGCGCCCTTGCGATGAATCGACAGGGGGCGGCGGATCCTTTGTCCTTCGGCCTATCCCGCCACCGTGCCTGGGTTGTGGGTTCTGTGGATTTTCTTAGGAGCCTCTTGGGAACCTTGGGTGGCCTATTGGGGCAATGCTGAACGCGCTCAGTCAAAAGAAGCGGGGTCCTCGATCTCCCCCCTCGGGGCCACAATCCTCGCGAGGAGTGTCAAACATTGGCCCTCCCCGGGGCCGAGAAAGGACCCTCCCACAGCTCGCGACCCCTCCCAAAAAAACCTCAGGGAGGGGAGGGGGAGGGTTCCCTTCTCCGAAGGGAGGAGGGGCTGTGGGAGAGGAAAGAGGCCCTCCTTAGACCATCTGTCGCCCAAAGGGCTGGTGGGACTCTCAGGAATTATCGGGCGGGAACCATTGTTGTGTTAGCCGGGAGGCCAGGGCCCAGTTTGAGCACGCATATTCTCCCTGATTAAAAGCGGGGTGCGAGCCCCGAGGGGGGCATTTCAAGTGACAAATTCAAAACCGGTGGGGGCTTAACAAGAAGTATTCCTCAAGAGTGAGACCTCACCAACAATAACAATCCGCTCCCTGGAAGCCCATTTCAGCCACGCGCACAGGGACAGTGAATGACTGTTCGGCCCCCTCACCCTGAGCAGGAGAGACCTCTATGTTCAAATGCGACTGCGCGCGGCGCAATTGGAAGAGCCTTATTTTGAAAAAGAAACCACCCTCCATCCTCGAAGCGATCGCCAATTTTGAAAAATGTGCGACTTCAAAGCGAGAGCATCAGTCTCATAACGGCGCCCCCTTCCATTCATGATAATGTTGCAACAGTTTGAGACGAATGTGCGCGGCGCCAAGGCGATAACCACATTTTGAACATGACCTTCCTTCCATTCGTGAATTTGCAAACCACCCGCCTTCCGTCAGCCCTCCATCCGTGAAATTGTTGCACGCGTGGAAACGCATGTGTGCGGCGCTTAGGCAACATCATAAGTTTGCAAACCATCCCCCCTCCGTACGTGAAATTGCTACAAACGTCGAAGGCGAATGTGCGCAGCAGCTGCACGGATGGATGGTGGGTGTTCCCCAATGATCCACCCTCCATCCGTGCAGCTGCTGCGAAGTGCAAGCTTCATGATCGTTCATGATGAGTGAGGAAATCTCGGGCGGAACGCCCGGCCCACCCTGCCAACACGCCTGGTGGTGCGACAGGGGGGAAGTTGCTCAGATTTGGAAGGGGATGGAGGAAGCAGGGGGGAGGGAGGGCGCAGGAGGGGAGAGCCCGCCCCCTCACCCTCCAGGCGTGCGAGAAAGACGTGCGCTGCTCCCTGTGGCAGTACACCGACGGCGGCCTCTGCCTCGTGTCTGCCAGCTCCTGCGGCGACGGCGGGGGCGACGACCTCGGCGCCGCGGGGAGCGGCTGGCTGGTCCAGCACGGCACCGCGGGGCCGTACGCGGAGCTGGCGGCCAACGCCGAGGTGGCGGGGCTTCTCAGCCTCGGCCTGCTCCCCAACCCCGACGGCGGCGGCGCGGGGGAGCAGGGGGACGCCGAGCGACTCGCGGACAGGAGCCCGCCCTTGTTTTAGATCTTTCTCGCCAGGGTGGGGTGGAAGGTGTGGCCCTCCACCTCCTGTTCCTGCCCCTCCTCCTGTTCCTGGTCCTCCTCCTCCTCCTCCTCCTCCTACTACTCCTACTGCTCCTCCTCCTCCTCGTCCTCCTCCTCGTCCTCCTCCCCCTCCTGCTCGTCGTCCTCCACCTCCTCCTCTTCCTCCTCCTCTTCCCCGTCCTATGAGACGCTGTCGTCTACAGCGCACGGCGAGCTCCTGCCAGACTTCCGACATTGAATGCCCAATGGGTGGATGAAACTAGTTTGCGAAGCGTTGGGCACAGGTCGGCCGTCGGCCTGCTGCTATTTCTTTCACCAGTTTGTACGTCATGGTTTCCGAATTGTTACTTGCAATATCGGGTGTGCCTAATGCACCCGACTGGAAGAACTATCCACTATGACGCCGACCGTCGACTTGTTTATCTCGTACAGGACGGGCAGCGCAGCCAAGTTTGGATGGTTCCTAAGTGTGCAAACGTATCCTGTGGTATCCTGTGGTATCTCTGCCTGCTATAGAACGCGCACGCATAACACCGCGCAGCAGGGTGTGCTCCCCCCCAAAGACCATACTAATACAGGAAGAGCTTCAATGGGAACCTCCCCCCGAAGACCAAAAGAATAGCAGACGGAGCGTCCATGATAACATTTCGGCTCGGTTCCCGATCAATGTATCGCCAAAAGGTACCACGCCGGCGTGTTTGGAGGAAGCAGTCGATCGATGCCTCTAGGGGACCACACGTACGATCGACAAGCAGGGGCACCAGTGATTCACCATCATGGCAGGAGCTTGGGGCTACCTTATGGGATCTTGAGGCCTCGCTGGCGTGTAGGAGTCCTTTTGGAGCCGTCTTGGGCATCCTGGCGGCCACGGACTCGTACCCCCCATCTAACAGGAGTTGGGACCAAAGAGAGGGGGAAAAGGGGGAGGGTGACAGCCAGTCATCTCACGCGCACGCTTGCACCCGGCAAGCGGGGGTCGGCAGAATATTCGCTGAAAGGAGAAGGATGCAGCTCCATCTCAAAACGGGGCTCTCGCCTGAATGGCAGGCCGACAGGGTGCTGGTCATTCAGGGGAGCGCTTCTCGTAGTGAAGAGGAGAGCTTGTAGGTGCACCTGTTGTCAGGAGACTCTGGCTGGGAGGGTGGATTGCAGCATCGTTGGTGAATATTGCGTGTAATTACTGTGGTCGTCCTCCTCGTCCTCCTCGTCCGCCCTCTTCCCTCTCCCCCTTTGCCCTCCTCTCCCTGCCCCCTCCTTTGCAGGGGGGGTTGCCGGAGGTGGCCCTTGCCCAATCTTGCCCCATTCGTCCTGGAGAGGCCCAGGCTGTTTCCGGAGCGCTGCTCGCAAAGCCCGGGGCACCAAAATTGCGCGAAAAGGTGGGGGGCACTTTGGGCCAGGACATCCTTTGGCAACCGCTGAGGGAGGAGGAGGGGGAAGGTCGAGGCTCGATGGTCGTGGTGTTTGCAAGTTTTTGACATGTTGTTGACTCCTGGGGATCTCCAGGAGACCTCTGGGGACTTCGGAGCAGGGGGGGATGGCTGGAGGAAGAGTCGTGCGCCAGGATGTTGACTTGATTCGTCCTTTCTGGGCCCCGGGTGTTCTCGAAGAAGGAGGGAGAGGAGATGGGTGAGAGGGAAAAGGGGGGAGTAAGGGTCGAGTCGAGGTGAGTTGCTGTCTGCTTTTGATATCCTGTTGCGCTGCCGCACGATTTCGCCACCGCGCCGCGCTGGGGCGGGCGCCAGGGAAGGAGAGGGGGGTGGGCGCCTGGGGGGCGGGGGCGGGGAGGGGCTCCAGAGGAGGGGATAGTCCATTGGGTTCTGGGCCTCCCAGATGGGGTCCGAGTAGATGGGGTCGGAGGATCGGCGATGCATCGCCGATGCATCGCCGATGCATCGCCGATACGGCTCGATGTGGAGCCCGATTTTCTCCACGCCGACGGCGGCGATGCATCGCCGATGCATCGCCGATGTGGCGGGATCCGTCGACGCCATGTACTCGGACCCCATCTAGGAGGCCTCTATGGATGTGGGCTGCCCCCGCCTCTGTGTTTGGGACTGTCGTCTGTTGGAATGTTAGAAGAAGAGCTCGTGGAACACATGGACGAACATTGGGCTCTTTGCGTCGGGGGGGCATAAGCATTGCTCTGCAACGAGCGAAACAACGAAGACATCAAAACAGAGACCCACACACACCAACCTGTGCCAGCGCGGTGACGAGATTCTAGGCCTCCTAGATGGGGTCGGAGTAGATGGGGTCGGAGGATCGCGCCGCATCGCCGACGCATCAGTGATGCGGTTCGATGCGGGGCCCGACTTGCTCCGCGTCGACGTCGCCGATGCACCGCCGAAGTCGACGTTGCATCGCCGATGCATCGCCGATACATCGCCGATACATCGGCGAGGCGGCGCGATCCTTCGACCCTGTCTGCTCCGACCCCATCCAGGAGGCCTCTGGAGCTTGGGTCCCTCCCCCCCCCTTGGGGAGCCCCGCAGAGGCGCCTGGCGAACTCCGGGAGCCTCGGGGCTCCATGGGCCGCTGGAGACCTCCAGGGGGCCTCGGGCACTCCAGGAGGAGGGGAGAGGGAGGGGCGGGTGGGGAGATTCCTCCTCCTCCTCCTCCTCCTCGTCGTCATCCTCCTCCTCCTGGAGACCTCCAGGGGACTTCGGGCACCCTGGGAGGAGGGGAGAGGGAGGGGCAGGGGGGTGGGCTGGGGAGGACTCGTCCTCCAGTGGTTTGACGCTCTCCGCTGGGCCTCCTGGAGGGCCTCCGTCGCCATGAATGGATTCCCTTCGAAGCTTTGAACGGATATGAAAGGTCTGGGGGCGGGTAGGAGGGAGAGAGGGAGGATGGCAAAACCAGACATTGTCTGACATAGTGCGCTTCGCTGCTTTGTAGCGTGGTTCGTCGTGCCATCCATGCCGTGGGATTCATGGGTTTACGCACATGGGTATGACATCGGCGCAGGCAGTGGGGGTGCCCCCCTCTCCTCCCCCGCGGGTGACGCGGATCTTGTCTTCACCACAATGTTCAAACGACGCAAGTATGTTGGCAGCGATTTGGCGCAGTGCTCTGTCAGTGTGCGACTACGAAGCAGTTCCACCATGTGATTTCATGCAAGTCGTGTAGGTAGCTCATTGGAGACATCTTGACTTGCCAGACCTTCCGAAGACGGGAGCCACATTTGAATGGAGATGGAACGCCACGGTCTTGACGTTGTCTGAGACCCCACCGGAGAGTTCACGGCGAGTCCAGTCGCTTCATCAGAAGAGCTTCACGCTTGCGCCTGAGAGTCCCAATGCCCCAATGCAAGCGCCTCTCGCGCGACTCGGTCATTATAACAACTCGAATATAGCGTGCACCATCTCAATGCGAAGCAACATCGCACATTGGTTTTGACTGGCACGCTGTTTGTCGTTGGCTCGTCGTGCCGACGGCTTTATTGGATAAGCAGTTCTGTTAGCAGGTTCGAGTGTCTCACGGGATGTGGGGCGTGGAATTTGCGCGGACCCTAGACTTGGTGTCACAATGGGACATTCCGAATGTTTGGCCCTTCTTCATCCCTGAACGGAGCTGTGCCCCTGGGTGTGTGCGGCCGTCTTAGAGCTGTTGCCGTCGCGGCCACGCAAGGCTGGCACATAGCAGGGCCGCACGTGAGGCCACACGGGGGGACCGAGCGGGGGGTCTGGCCACACGGGGTGCCACGCGGAGGGATGCACTTTGGTGCCGCAGGCGTGCCCCCCCTTCCTGCTCCCCCCTGCCTAGAAAGACGTGCTGCAGGGAGCAGGTCGAGCTCTGCCGCAGCGTGTGCTACGCGGACATCGGGTGCGGATATTGGCAGTACGGTGGCAGCAGCTGCCGTGTGGAGCGCCAGCCAGACTTTGTCGCTGCCCCCGCGAACCTCACCTCCCCGACCGACCTGGTGCTCGTCGGGGAGCAGGTCTCGGAATCGGGCAGCTAAGCGGGAAGCTGGGTGCACGTGGCCGCATGTACCTCCGGCGAGTCCGGCCAGGCACGCCAGCCCTCCGTCCGTGGATGCAGCGCGTGGCGTCCGCATGTTCCGCACAGGAGTGCGACCCCTCGCCGGGCCAGGGCCATCCTGGGGCCCCGGGTTGCCCCCCTGGCCTGGCACGGTGGTGGTGCATGGAGGTTGTCTGCGTTTGTGTTTCCAGCTTCCTGTCACGCACAGCCGCCAGCCCTGGCCAGGACCCAGCCGGGCCCGAGAAAGGTGCACGCGGCCAGCACGGGGCCAGGAGGGGCCATGGCGCGCACGTCGAGAGGACCTCGGAAGAGCCTGGCCAGGACTGGCGGCTGTGCAGACAGTTGCCCGCTCTCTAAGTTTCAATCGGGCCTGTCCCTCCACAGAATGAATAATCAAAAATAGTGTAAAAAATACTCGGGGGACGAGTTTTGCATTATTGCTTGATCTTTTCGGAGGATTATATGAATATCTCTTATTTCTCCCCCAAAATCCTCCTGTAGGAGGACATGCCCGACCTAACTCTAAGGTGGCGCGTGGCTGCCCTCACGACCCGCACCCGATCTCCCTCGGCGTGGGCGTCGCGTGCTCGGCCCTCGGAAGCCTGGCGCTCGCCTGGGCAGCCTGCGCAAGTGGCAGGAACGCCGTCACGCGCGAGGGGCTGCTGAAGGCGAGGGAGGCCTCGGTGTCGGCGCCGCGAGACTCGCGGGACTCGCAGTCGCGGTCCTCGCGGGACCTCTCCGATGGCGAGGACGAGAGCACCGAGTGAGGGCCTGGCGGGGCCGCTCGAGTGGAGGGGCGTGTCCTCCCCTCCTCGGGCACGCGCGAGGGTGGTACGGTCGGCCCTGATCAGTGGGTCGACCCTGCCAAGTCAAGGGCCCCCTTCGTGTCCTGTGCCTCGCGGCCCGTGCCTCCTACATTCCTACGGCAATGCTCGAGGAGGGGATCGACTACAGAATTGATTTACCCCAAAACTGATTTTCCCCATGGAATCTACGACGAATACGTGGAACTCTCGCCGTACATCCGCTGAGGATTCCCAGTACTCTCTGCAGATCCGACGACACAACCAATTCGGGGGCAAAGCAATTCTGTAGTCGACCCCCTGCTCGAAATGTGGCCCCCGCAGGGGTCTTGTGTCCTCTCGCGTGCCCTGTCCAATCAGGTCCGACTGCACGGTAACCTTCGCGTCGCGCCGACGCGGTCGCGGCCCGCGGCGCGGGCGTGCGAGGCGCCCACGCCAGCGGCCACCCGTGGCGATGGGCCGAGATCGAACGGTCCGCGCTGCCAGAGGCCGCAATGGGGCAGGGTGGAATTTCCGTGAGCCGCGCGTGTCCCTCTACGGGAGGAAAATTCACAAATAGCAGCAACATAGTCTGGGGACGATTTCCTTAGTTTTTTCCCATTTTTGTATAATTGAAAATATGAATAAAATACGTGTTTGAGTTTTTTTGCTTAAGAAATGTTTCGCCCAAAATCCCCCTGTAGGGGGACATGCCCGACCTAAGATTTCCGCCACACAAAGAATGTACGGTAGGTTCGCGTCTTGTCGACCGGCGCCGACCCCGCCGCCGACGTTCAACGTTTGAACGCCGCCAGCGACCCAGCATCTGTCGATGTTGAACGATCTGACTTCTCGGAAACGGCCGATCGTTCCAGGTTGAGCGATTCCCGCGGTGTCAGCAACCAACGCGGCGGTCGACACGACACGAACCCGCCGTACGCAGGCAACCTCCAATGGATTGTTCTTGGGCCTCAGGGGAAGGTCGGGGGCAGCGGTAGGGGGGGATATCAGAGGCGTACATAATTTTCCCACTGTTACTAAAAAAAACTTCCGTGTGGAAGAGACACACGATGACCGCCTGGGCCCCCGTCGGAGGAGCCGAAATGCGAGCGCAATGGCGCGCGCGGCCACGCGCGACCCGCCGCTGGTAATAATGTGAATGCGCAGGCGTCGCGGCGACGACGACGGCGACGGCGACGACGGCGGCGTCGGCGCCGACGGCAATGACGACGGCGGCAACGGTGACGGCGGCGACGACGAACGTCGCGGCGACGGCGGCGACAGGGCCCGGGCCCACGGGCGAACTTGCGCCCCGCCCTCGTTCCAGGAGTCCCGCACCAGATTGAATGGGAGGAACGAAATTTCTGTGCGCAGTTTTTACGCCAGCCGTCTCACCGTTTTACTACAGCTCTCGATTTGCTTTAGTAAAACGTCGTTGTGTTCGGAATGTATTGAGCGGCGCGCCTTTACCAAAACCGCTTTCTCGCTTTAGTAAAGCCGCTTTTTCGCTTTAGTAAAGCCGCTTCGTCGCTTTAGTAAAGGCCGCGGTCTTCCTCAGTAAACTCCTTTTGGTGCGGGGCCAGGGCCCGGTCGGGGGGCGGGGAGCTCCCGTCTTCCCTGCTAGTTCACCCCGCGATGCATTTGCTCGAATAATCAGGGTCGCGTTGCATCGGGTCGCGGCGATCCTTGGACATGTTTCGGTGAGTTGTAGATGCTCCTTGACAGGAGATTCAGGGCGCGAGCGCAGGACGTGGCTCGGCAGTCCGGACGCGCTGCCGAGGCTGTCGCGCAACAGAGCAACAGCACTTTACTAAAAGGCTCGTTTCCTCTCGCAAATAACTCCTTCAACGTAATCGTGTGCACTTTCCGCTTCCAAGGATCGGCACAGAGGTGGGCGCATCGGCCCCCGATCGCCCATGGATCGCCGAGAGGTGCCTGATAGCCCCAGCCTGCCCAGGAGCGTGCGGATTCACTCTCGGGGGCCTATCGCCGATTTATCGGCGATGAATCGCCGATTCCTGGTCGACGTTCCCCTCTCTGTGCATGTCTCCCCAGATCGTTGCCTCTCAGAGAGTGGCGGTGCCTAAATCACCACTGGGGGCCAGCGAGTTCGTACACCGCCGTATGGAACGTTCGTGGTAGGATGTCTGTGTATATTTAGTTTTCCGGTGTATGGAAGGATCCACGCGGTGCGGGGAACCAGCGCTGGGGTCATCAAGACACGAACCTGCCGCAGATAAGGGGGTGGCCTCTCAGAAGGCGCCCTTCATCTTAAAAGGGCCGCTTCCGCTTCCGGAGAGGCCACTGTGTCCCCCCACCATTCCTATCCTTGATCCTCTTGCCCACCTTTTCCATCTCTTCGCTGTCCCTTTTGGGCCTTATCGGGGCGCTTTGGAGGCTTACTGGCTTGTCTTGGAACCGTTCTGGGCCATTTAGAAGCCATCTGGAGCAGTCTTGCGCGCATGTTGGCCCGTCTGACGACCAAATGTGGGTTTGGCAAGGTCAGCTGAGCGCGGCGGCTTCCCATGCTAGACTACCCACACTCCCTCCAAATTGGCCAGACCATGTTCCCACGGGAAGGATTTAAAAGGGGCGCGCATCTCACGCGCCGAGAACGCCCCACGGGTTGGCGAATGCGCAACAATTGCGACGTGCGAGTTGGTTCTTACACGTCCCCGACAAATTGTGACCGGGGGTCGTCAACGGCTCACCAGGGGAGAGCGCAGCAGGACGCGCCGCGGCGCGACCTGTCTTCTTCGGCCCCAGTTCAGTATCGGCGCTTTGTTCTTCTCGTGTACACAGGCGCTTGTATCCCTCTTTTCCTCCTTCTCTTCCTGCTCCAGCGTGCCACGCCCCCCCTTTTTTTGTTTCCGGATTGCGCATCACGCTGTGAGGTAACGTCGGGGAGCCAGGTCCCATATGACGTCCGTCGGCTGGTAGGACGACCATCGCTGCAGCTGGAAGGAATGGATGGGGCAGCGCCGCTCTCACCCGCGTTCCAAACCTGCAGCTGCCACAGGGAAAGGGCGACGGTTCTTCTTCCAGACGTGGGTTTTCGCTTGAGACTCCCTTAGTCAATCCACGCACCAGCTGCACGGATGGAGGACCGTTCCTTTTCACATTGAGGGTTTCGCGTGTTGTGTCGTAAAAGTGTCCGTTGCCATAAGGCCAGAAGGTGAAACATATAAGTAGCAGTTACATAATTTTTGGGCGGCCCGTTTTTCAAAACGAGAATCTCGTTGAACACATCGCTTCAAGGTGTGATGACACGTTTGTGCTGTTTTCTGAAGATACGCTGAAATTGTACAGGTGTGTTGTTTTTAACACAGGTCTCTCGCATGATCTGCATGCCGAGAAGTTTGTAGGGATTGATGAGAAGGATACTTTTGACGGGAGGGTGTACTGCCGCATCGTTGATGCATCTTGGGCTTATCATGATCCCCTCCCTCTATCCTCTTCAATTCCCCAGTGCTCAATCTGAATATTCATACCCATGTGGCCCGCGTCCCGCCACGCATGTGAAGTAGCAACGGGTCGAGCACTACAAACGTCATTCTGGCATCCCGCTTCGACTGCACACATGGCTCCGCGAAAAGACAGGGATATGCGTGACCAGGCGCAGTGGGCGCGAGGTGTAGGATCGCATGTGCGATGCGAGCACACGAAGCTTGATTATTTCGCGCATTATTTACCCCCTCTCCTTTGCCACCTCCCTCCCCCTCACCGTCCCCCCTCCCCAGCCTCCAGTGTCCCTTCCCTCCCCATCTTTCCCCCGAAGGAGGAGGATGCCCATAAGACCCTAGGACTATCACACCTCCTGAGCTTCTTGGAATTTCCGGATGCTGCCTACAACCATCCACTCTCCTCCCCTGTCTCCTCGTCCTCCTGTTTACTCCCTCCTGCTCCCTCCCTCCTTGTCTCTCTCCTCCCTGCCCTCATTTCCCCCCCCCTTCCCTCCTCCCTCCCTCCCTCCCCCCGTCCCTCCTCGTCCTCCCCCTTCCCCTCTCTCCATCCCTGCCCTCCCTCCCTCTCTCCTTCTCTTTCTCTCACCCCCTCCCTCCCACCCTTCCTCCCTCCCTCCCTCCCTCCCTCCACCCGGTCCCCCTTCTCTCCTCCCTTACCCTCCTCCTCTCTCCATCCCCCTTCCCTCCTCCTCCTCCTCCTCCTCCTCCTCCTCCTCCTCCTCCTCCTCCTCCTCCTCCTCCTCCTCCTCCTCCTCCTCCTCCCCCCCTTCCCTCTCAATCTCAGCTGCCGTGGCCGCTGTGTCAGGATCTGGTGCCGGACCTGACGAACTTCTACAACCAGTACAAGGCGGAGCCGGGGAGGGGGCGAGGCCGAGGAGGGAGGGGTGGGGAGGGGAGGAGGGGGGAGGGGGGAGTGGAGGGAGGGGGGAAGAAGGAGAAGCGTGGAAACGAAGCCAACGTTGCAGCAGGAGCACGATTTGAAAGAATCGCGACAATGAAACGAGGTCAGCGCTACAGCGGAAACATGATCTGGAAAGACTGAGAATGGGAAAATGGAGCCAACGGATTGGAAAAACACATGTCTCATGGCCTTCGGCCCATCCCGCCATCGTGCCTGGGTTGTGGGTATGGAGCCTATTGGATGGTCGATGGGATCTCGTGGAAGGCCTCTCGTGGACGTCTGGGAGGCAGTTTGGAGGCCACTTGGGAGCTGGCTCGGGGCCTCTTGTGGCCTCTTTTTGGCCTCTTGGGAGCCTCTTGGGAGCCTCTGAGGGGCCTCTGAGGGGCCTCTTGGGGGCCTCTTGGGGCCTCCTGGGCGCCTCTCCAGGCCTCCTGGGGGCCTCTTGGGGCGGAAGGCTCGGATTTTCTATCGTGCTCCCTCCCTTGGGCCCCTTTTGGGGCCGTCTTGGGGCCCTCTTGG